GGTAGGTATCTCGCTGCACCAACAAAATTATTAGGTTACTTGATAGTAATATTACTATTGGGTATAACATTGGTCATCTGCTGCATAATATTATAACACAATACGTACATTGTAATGTAGAATATCATCTTGAATAATATGTTTCCAGATTATAAATCCTTTTTTTCAATACATACATCTATATTCGCAATATATACTGTATTATATATAAAACCGATATAATATACGATATTCGCACTGCATACTGAGAGTTATTCGAACCTTTAAGTTTCTGTTTTTATCATGATTTTTTTTTTCACGACCTTACACACCTTAGGCTATCACGCAGTTTAAAAGAATTATTTGGCGCAAAACAAAAATCATATTTGAAACGATTCCTCGAATTACAGCACGCGTCACGAGACGTAATAATGAATCGATACGGATTAAAAACGAGTTAAAAATATCATTGTAGCACAATAAAATGATTCGCTAAATTTAAAACTCCAAGCAAGTTTCAACAAAATAGTCAATTGTTTTTCAAGAATTGCAATCATTAAATCGAAATCGTCTAAAATGCGTAAACTCTCATTTATCTCAATTACATTCTGTCAAATCCCAATTGCGAATTTGGACGGAACACGAACGATATTGTTAATATATAACCTACGTCTATAATAACAGCCATTATCGAAATCTTATAAATTATAATATAGTATGACATAATGTATTATACCTTCGATAGGTACTTTCAAAAAGAATATAAGTACTAGGAAGCATTTTTTAAAGACATATCCTGATAAAATAATGTTGACGAATCTGAGATATAAATTCATATTGATTAGACAAGTATATTTGAGGTCATGGTTGTTGTAATTCCGTTAATTTCTGAGCAGGATAATAATGATTTGTGTGTAAATAATACATTTCAAATTTGAATAATGATAGTCATTTATCGAAAAAAATACTATTCTGAACGATTATTTCCGTTGTACTAGCTATAGTGTTAGGACGTTCTTTAAACAATTTCTTACTCATAAAAAATCCAATCTTTAAGATATTTTAAATACTTATTGATTATAGTAGTTAGTAAAAGAATGACCTGCTACAGTAAAAAAAATGAAAAGTCTTATAAACATTTACCTAAAGCTAGAAATTCTAAAGAAATTCTAAAAGCTTTCTAGTAGTATTAGTATTATAGTATATGTAATATACACACTATAAACCGCACTTGAACACAGTTTCTTTTTTATTTCAAAAATTTTAAATTTATTAAGATTACCTAGCTCTATAGTTTCATTAAATTTATGCTCGACTAATATTTTAGTCTTTTAAATTTAATTCTCGGATTTTTTTATGCTTTGTCCAATATCATCATATTCTAAATCGGGTAAAGTAATAAATAATATTATAGATTAAAGATACCTAGCTATTTTCTTTCTCTTTTCTTTAAATTCTCGACACGATACAATTTATGGACGGATCTAGAGATTAGGAAACCGCAACGACGAAACTCATCGGCGCGCGCGCGATCACTTTTTTTTATTGACGTTTCAATAATGTATTTACATCATATTAAATTAATCGAATACAGCGAGCGACCAAAAAAAAAATAAAAAAAAAAACCATAATATTCCGTCGGTGTTATTATAATATATTATATATTATTATGACGATGACCCACACAGGAGCTACTGTTGCGCACGAATACACGTCGACGTCTTTTATGTGTATATATCGCTATTAATATAATATTGTACTCCGTCAGTTTACGTTCCTATGAAGATCACGACTGGTTTTCATTTATATTATTTTTTCTAAATTTTAATTTGATTTTTTTTTTCAGTTTCCATCGCCGCAGACTGTAGCAGTGTAAAACCACCTTGTTATTTAGGTATACATTCACCAATCGACGGCGGTCGATAAATGTGTAAAAAAAATAAATACTATAACGCATATCAATACGTCATATTATAAATGATAAACGCACTTGTTAAATGTAATATATATATACATGTAGCTTGTAGATATACATATAATATATTCTATATAATATTTACGATTGGCGTCGTGTTGTCGTCGTGTGTAAATGTATCCATAAAATATCGAACCGCATTTAATAGTTGTGTACTAAATACGCGCCTTAGACCTGTAGATTTATATAATAATAATAATAATATAATATATATGTCTGCGTTCATATCAAAAACGCACTGATTTAATATATATATATAATATATATATGTGTATATTTATAATAGGTAACTCCCTATATATAGTTGTATAAATATCATAGCTGTCATTTCGATGTTGTATTTTGTGCGATTCAATTCCGCCATGTACCTACTATTATAATATGACGTTAACCACACGAGTTGCAATGGCCGTTTTTCATTTAACGCCAAACACGTCGAACTCCACACGTATTATAGGCGTTAATGTAATATATTATCATCGATCTATCTATCCGATCATTATTTTCCGTCAGAAATATCCGTTCGAACCGTTCGCTTACTTTTTTTTTTACGGACGCTAAAACGAGCGTAGTATTCATTTACGATTCGTTATTTATATCTGTATAGTTATACTGCACCGTTTACTCGTTTCTCTGTCGGAATAAAATTAATGGTATGGTATTATGTCTATTAGAAAAAAACCATCAGGTCGTCAAAACAACACCACTTCTGCACGGTGCATACGAATATGCTTTACGCGTCCAGGCCCGAGCAATTAGGTTAGAAGATTACCTGTATACTCGACATTCGATTCAAGCCTCTACACCTTCAGATGTGTATCGTCAATCGTCATTAACAGATTTCTGGTCCGATTTGCCGTCGTTATTATAATATTCGCCTATATCTCTCGATAATCTAATATCATTCACTACGACCCGGTCTTGGGCTAATCTCGTTTTTAATAATACTACATTCAATTATTTTGTGACTCCGACACAATGTGTGTCGTACATGATACACACAAGGGAGCCCACAGGGAGGGCAAGCAGCGACCATTTCGCCCAATAAAAAAATGTTTATTGTCATAGAATTTATAGTAGATATACGTCTTGCGGTATGTACCAAAATAACTGACCCAAGTTTTCCAATTTAGCCTTTGAATTTTGATCTTGCCCCAGGTAAGATTTCATCCTGCGTGCGTGATTGCATACACTCAACACTCGAACACTACAAAACTGATAGGCAAAATACTGATTGTGCAGGTACAACCTTTATGGTCATTACTAGGTGTCGTGACATTGTGGCGTAAAAAAATATACGAAGTTCCTCTATTTTTTTTTATTTTATTTACATATATAATAGACGATGAAGCGCTCTACTGTTTTAAACAGGTCAAATCGTCTACACAATAATACAATGCACCCCTCCCGCCAACAACGCACACTCATACGTCCCCCGAAGCGACAATCTTACGCGGGTGTCGGTCAGAGTCCCGTCTAAAAATATTCAAACGAGTAACGTTCGTGTGCAGTTTATTATAATCCGTGAGTACTATATTCTTTTTACTGAATACAACTACTAAACGTCATATTTTACCACCAATCGTCGATAAACTCAAACTTTCACTGTACACATCCTGTGGACTATGGGAATAATAATATTATAATAATTTGTTTGTATAAAATATAACACTCAAAATATAGCATACCATACATATTAAATATTATAATATGTTATGAACTTTAAACTTATATGACGTATATTTCATGTATACGAGTACCTAAAAAAATTTAACTTTGATTACTGACTAGCAAATTCATTTTGTCACTCTACCTTCGCATTGTATTATGTACGAATCCTTGATATTTATTTATTTATTGATATATTATAATACTCCAGCAGTCTCCGAGCGTCTTAACGTCTTGTTAACATTATTAATTGACAACGCACGCGGACCGGTGACTGCCTTCATCCGTAAAATATTATTATTAAAACAAATATTTAAACATGCTTAACATACTTATGGTATATATATAATGCATCGCCACATTGATGTATGCATAAGTTCAACCGGGGGCCAGGACTTAAAAACAGGGTCGTGGAGTCGTGGAGAAAGAAACCCGGGCCCGGGGGGTAATACCACTGGGGCCCCAGTATATTTTACTACCTATCATTAATTTTGTCAAATTTCCTGGCCCTCTTAAAAAAGCTGGCCCGGAGAGAATCCCCCTCTCCCTCTCATCAGGCCTGCTTAAAAGTTACAATGTAAAACACTTTAACTTTTCAACTTAACAGCATTGACTAGGTGGTAGAAAACAATAATTACACACAATTTCAAAACGAATCAATAAATAGAAAAAAATGGCATAATATTATAATATATAATAAACATTAAGCATGCGTATTATCCTGATTTCTGAGTATGCCAAAAATAAAAAAAGTATTAATATTTTCTTTACTTTTATAATTTAATGAAAAAAAATTCAAACAAACATTAGTTTCTCGTCTTTTATTGATAATAATATTATATAGCATTAGGTACAAACGTACATAAGTAATTATTTATAACATTGAACTTCAAAATTTGCAAGGCTTAAATCCTTTATAAAAATTAATCATTTATGCATATATATTTGTCTTTAAGTGAATTTTGTTTGACTTGGAATATTTTCATATTTTAAAGTTTCCGAAAACGACTAGAAAATAGTTAGAAATTATTCATGATTAATTAGATAGGTAAGAACTAATAATAAATTCTAACATTTTCTGACAATTAATGTTTCAATACGTAATGATTTATTACTATAGCAGTAAACACGAAGAATGTTTCTCGTGTTTAGAAAAAGTCGTTCTCTCTAACGGCTCTGCGTGCAGATGACTTATTAACACGGACGATATTACAATTCACATATTATAAATATCTGCTCCAAATGACCATTCCTAACCGGTTTCCATAAGCATCGAAACATAAGGTATTGAACGTAATGATTTTTATTTTTCAATATTGCAGTACGGCCACCCCAGAGTCTGCAGGAGACTTCTTTACCACATTCAGTTTGTACTCACCCTGTCCATTACAATCACAGATGGCCATTGCATGAGCATGCTTCCGTCCTTGTAGATCTTCGCGGATCTGTACCCGAGCACCGTATCCACCCTTTGTCATGGATATCCGGGACTGCGCTTTTATCCGCATAGGACTGTCATTGTTGTTGTGCATGACCCGTTTTTCTGCCTCGTGATTGGAACATTGCACGCCAGCCACTATCACTGCGGCCAGTACCTGTGTAATAAAAATTCACGGAAAGAGACTTTAACAACCGTCAAAAAACATGTAGAAACGCCCACGCCGTACCAAACGGCGCAAACCCGTCGTAATTAAATGAGTGTTTAATTTAATTTTTTAAGCATAGGTATTTATTAAGTTTTCTAAATCTTATACTGCCAGTGCTTTTATTTTAAATATCGATTTTCGGACTCATATTAATTTCGTCTGTTCGATCGCTTTTATATTATGGATACAGGCATACAACAGAATAAAGTGGTAATAACTATAGTTATAGTGTATACACTTAAGCCATAAAATTAATATTCACATTTATTTTTCGGAATAACATAACTAGCTACTTGACGCGTTATTGGCCGGTGAAAACGTTTTATTTGACTACTTTGACCCAGAGAACCGGTTGATCATTTTGCAAGATCATTAATATTACCTACCATCCAATAATGACTGTCTTCGTTTCGTAAACATATTTTCTCAAATAAATACATTTTTTTTTAATTTAAAATTTGTTTTCAACGTGTATTAATAATGTATAACAACGAAAATATTGCATAATTATGTTTTAATGATTTTCTATTAACATTTAAAACCAAAATAATTATTAAAATTAAAATAATATATTTCATGATTATGCGTAGACGTATGACAAAATATAATAAAAGTAAATTTTTAAATACTCTTACTCGTGATTATATTTATGAAAAACATATGTATGATCTAAAAAAATTTTAAAAAACAATACAGTAATGGATATAATAATTAACAATTTCATTCAAGCAAATTATAATGGCATTATGGGGCAATGATTTAGAGAGCATATATTTTTTTAATCATTAATCTACTGAATTCCACGGTATTTAACATTACATATCAATATATCATACAGTTGAACATAGTAGATCTCTACTACCTATCTGCTATACATTTATATATAATTGAAATATTCGTTAATCGTTTAGCAATTTCATTTAAGATACCATTCTCAAAATGTGTTTACCGCAGAATTAAATTAGGTACTCTTAAACGATTGATCTATTGGTTTGACGCTTTCACAAAAACGAATTTTCATAATTATTTAAGTAGTTTAACATTAACCTAACCTAACTATGTGGTCATATTACGAAAGCATAACATTATTTAACAAAATTAGGTACTAGGTACCTATATATAAGGGTACTCTTGGGAATTTAAAACATAGTAGGTATTAAAGTTTAACACATTGGGTTATTATTTAATCTTGAATCAAAGGCAAAAACCTAACACGTACATTAAACATTGTCTTTTCAACTGTAATACCCAAATCACGAAGTAAAGAAATTCTATAAGCGACACTGTATTTTCTCGACGAGCAAAAGTAATTATACTTAAAAACACAATACGCACTCAAAAATAAATTCTACTAGCAATGAAACCATATGACATTCGCGTCCTTGTAAAAAAATTCGATCTCAATAGTAATATAATATTGTGTCAGTGACGGAAGAATATACAAATGGAAATCACACTCCTTGGTGTTATTTTATAACAAATGTCATATTTTACATTCCATTTTTTTTTTGTCGTCTCCATCCGACCGATCGGCCGACCGACCGACGAGGTTTCTAGTTAACGGTGAGAGTCCCCCAGCAGTGTGTCGGGTTTGACAAATGAATTTTTACGTGCAATATTGTCCATTTTATCATTGTGCCATCTGTCACAGACGGAATAAACGAAGAGCAGGAAAACCGACGAAGATGATACGACGACGGAAAAAATAGAAAGTGGTACTCAATGATATTTTCACACACACCAGAACGGTATAGTCCCAATTAATAATTAACTATATCTATAACAACATGTAGTATAGGATACACACACATATACATTACACATATTATGTTATATGGATATAATATAATTTACAGACCGATGGACTTTTCATTGAGGTCCCCACGCCCATTGTCCGCATCCGGTTCTTCTCTAATGATAATAATATTAAATATATAAACCCGCTATAGGTATTATATATTTATGTAGGTATAGGTCCGTCCAAAGCACCCGTTCGTATCCAATTCAATTAACTGCTTTTTTTTTTTTGCATGCCACAATGTCACGACGTACAAATATAAATAGTAGCTGACAACTTGTAATCAATTCGAACGGTTTTATATTCGTTTTAATGTGTGTGTATATATTATACACTCGCGCCAGCCTCGGCAGTCTAGTTGTAGAGAGCCAGGTGTACGACTATTATTATTATTATTATTATTATTATTATCATTATTATTATTATTTTTATTATTACTATTATTATTTATTATAATTTATAATATATTATCATTCGGTGTCCAATCAAATCAATTCTTTAATAACATCTCGCTAAACGTATATACCTATATAATGTATAGTAATTGTACCTATGTCGTATATTTATACCTACTATACAAATCATTCGTTTTATTGACTCTCGATCTGTCTTCTTATCGCATGTCCACACAGACAGCGAGGAGTGAGTTTCCACACATAGTTTTTGAAAACTTATAACAATTTGTTGTACCTACACAATTATATGTGGTCTATGACGTTTGCCCTACATATATGCGATATCAAATGTCGGCAAAAGTGTAATTAATCTGTAATTTAACTCGTTAGAAAATCTTAACTTTAAAATTTTGATCTATAACGAACGTACTGAATTATCGACCTTAATTTTAAATAATACCACTACTTTTACAATAAAATTAATATTATTGACTAATCGTTAAAATATATTAAATGACATCTTCAATCTATGTTCCATGTTTAAAAATTATATTATATATTACTAGATATTAATATATAAGTTTCTTGAACAGATGTACTATAAATGTTTGTGTAAAAGTAAAATAAAAAATAAATTGTGTAGGCACCATGGGGGGTATCTTACCCTCAAAATCCTATATAAAAGAGGAGCTTCAAAGCTGCAATACCGCCTTCCACAGCCTAAGAAACATTATCTAATATACCTCAGGATATAAACTTTCAAGTATAATATATGGTCAGAATAAAAATAATTACTAATAATAATATTAGTTTGTAAATTTACATCATCGTAATACTATCCATTTTAACATACAGTGTGATACTTCAAATGCATGACTTTGAATTTTATTGATCATTTTTTACTGCATTAAAGACTTATCATTACACTAATTTTCGAAAAATTAAAATGTTTAACTTTTTTCTAACACATGTACAAAAAAAAATGTTTTAACCGGAGCCCATCTCCTTTTGAGTATCAATTTGAATAACATTATTATTTTTAAACAACTTTACTTATAATTTATAAAGTTGTTTTCCATTTTAAAAATTGACTGATTGAGAATGACTTAACGACTTAACGTCACGATTGATACATGTGCTTATCGCATTTTTAACAGTCTTTACTCTTCTCAAATGTCCATGTTATTTAACATGAGTTGTTGAAACAATAACCCACTATAATTTTTCTATACATCAAAGTTGTTAAAAAAAATGTAATTCAAATTCGAACTTAAAAAAGGGGGTCGAAAAAAAATTATTTGTTTTGTAGCGCACGTGCAGAATAATAACCCAAAGTAATTTAAGCTCATATTATGTTTAAAATATTTTATGTTTCCATTATCGTTGAACACTGTAGAACCAAATAAAAAACCACATCCCCTACCTTGTTTGTATACGCCCCTGAATAGTAGGAATACTCCACTGTTTGGTCTATTCATTCTTTCAAAATATTTTAAGGAAATTCATTTTTAAACTTGTTTAAACGAATGATAATAATATACGTTTTTTTTTAATAACTAATTTTCAGTAAAAATGTGTTTTTAGAAATAAATAATAATAATAAATTTGTCAAACTAATAATTAATGAATCGTCAAATCAATTTATTAAATTGTGAAAAACGAAATTCGCGTTTTTATTTTCTAGATTGTAAAATATTTATTGTCTACACCACTCTATGGATATCAAAATAACTAAACAAGTTTAGGAGGTATCCGTCTAGCAAAAATGTTATCCATAAAATTTTTTTTGTAATTAGGAACACGAATAGTAGTGAAAACGCGGCTTTTCGCAGTTCTATTTCGTGAATTGGATCCAAACGTTGTCCATTTCACGGAACGGATACATTAATACGATGTGAATATGACAATATATAATACTGTATATATTATAAAAATGTTGAAAACATTTTCAAAATATTTTAATTTTATGATCGATGATATAATCTGCAGATGATACCAATTAGAATTTCTGTTATTACTATTTTTACTTTAAACAATCTGCATCTTTTGTTTTTTCTTTATCATTTTTAAATAAATTGTTCTCTGTAGTATGAATGTATGATAATAAATGCAGTCTAGACACCAGTCCAAAAAAAAAAAAAATGATATTAAAACTATATATATTATAAATTATAATCAACAATGAAATTTTTGCTGGTACACTAGTTTAATAAACAGTATTTTAACGTCATCTTCGGTCTTCTTCCGCTTATTGCTCCCCTCCCATAAAATAATAGACATTTTTACGTAGGTTGATATAGTATAGATACCAGTGAAAGTAATTTGGATCATATTTTATATTTTATAATTCATATACGTCTATTTATGTATGTGCTTATAATATATTATGTATTTTTCTTCTCACAAAAAACAGTACGACAAATTTCGCTGATTATTACTGTTATTATTATTATTATTACCTATTATTATTATAAACTGTATATTTACGCGGTACCGTACGGTATGAAATAATTTCTACAAAACAAACGGAAGAGAAAACTAACGTATTAACATTAGTACATGACCAATACAATACAATTTAAGTATAATATATTATTATTTATTATATTAATATGACTATTTCTGAACGTCTAAACATATATTAGTTTATTACTATGTAGACATAGTAAGTAGGAATGCATAAATCATCATAATATAATATATTTTAGTTATTAGTTATTACTTATTAATCATTACATACCTATATTACAAATATA